TAGTGAATAGGGTGTTGGGGGAATCACTTTTTTTTCTCTTTTTCATCAAACCGCAGTTTTTGCAAGTTTCCGCAATTTAATCGCATACAATTGCATAAATATCCCGCATATTCCATCGCATTTTTTAAGAAAACGTGCCGCATAATCAACGATTTTTGCCCGCAACAATCACCAAAAAACTCCGCGTTTTTCTGGAGGGACTGATTTACCGCAAAATGATATTTAAAGTGATCATCGCACTGCGCTACGGGCCTGGCGACCCGAGTTCAATTCCCGGCCAGGGTTAACGTCGGTGTTGAGTGATATTTAAATCGGTTCTGCACCCCCCCCCCCCCCCCCTGCGTCAATTCGAACTGACCAGCGTGGTGAAAGTATGTTTTTTTTTTTAAAACACCCTCAAGGTGGATTAAGAACGGCTGAACTTTACGTTTGGGGCCGTCCATAAATGACCATGTACGCACCTGGGGGGGGGGGGGGGGGGGGTCAGACATTTGTGACGATGTGTGACGAGGGGGGAGGGGGTTGAGAAATGTGACGTCACATCAAAATGCGCAACTTTAAATAAATATAGACAACACTTTCTACTTAATTAAATAGACTTTTAAATAAATGTTTTCTCCTACAACATCAGAGTGCAGCGTGACATTAAATACGCACTACAATGACAATTGTTTAAAGCGATTTGAAGCATGTTTTATTTTCAAAATGGAAATTTGGTTTTGGGGGGGGGGGGGGGGGGCAGAGCTTTGTGACGTCATATTTGAGGGGGGTCTGCCTTTTTTGTGACGCCGTGTGACGAGGAGAAACATGCGGCCGGTGATGTGAGCAAATTGCTTGACTAGCGGACTGGGTGGCGAAATGAATTAGGCCAGTGTTCTTCACTAATTTTCAGAGCGATGCCACTTTCGCCGAGAAAACATCAGATCAGTGTTCAAAGTTCAAAGTTCATTTATTAGGTAGGTAGCCCTGTGAGCCATTCGGCTCTTGAATCGGTTGCAACCGCAACAAACAAAAAACATGAACAAGAAAACATCTTAAAGTGACTATGTGCAAACAGAAAATCCAAGAAAAGACAGCAAAATATTGCAGAAAAAATCACCGTACACCAACCCTGTGCAAATATCCCAGTGGGATGCAAGTCAAACAACAACAACAACCACAAGACAACTTAGATTAAGGCCATCAGTGTGAGGGCCGCCACACTGCCTGCAAGGGACGTTTTCACATTTGTGCATTGTCGGGGGGGGGGGGGGGCACACCCAGAAGCCGCCAGCGCCCCCCGGGCCTTGCAATGAAGAACAACGATTTACGCAATCGGATGCAAGAAAGAGGGCCTTCCAGCCAGAATCAGACCTTGTTTTTACCGCAACGCCGACACAATGCGTGTCACTCACAATGTTGTGGGATGCTTCACATCCGTACGGATTGTCTGACGCAGGGGGTTTGTTCCGTAATGACCCGGCAAGCAAATTACTCGGAGCCCAGAGTCAACAAAACTTTGCTCTGCCTACTTGCGAGCCCCTGGGGCTCACTGCGTTATTGCACAGGTGTACCACGAAGGGGTCGGCAAAAGAATGCAGTAACTGCGATAATTATGATCCCTGGGTTTAAGTGTGAGCCCAGCATTGCATGCTGAAGTGACATCAAGAGGCGTTTTCTCTTGTTTTGAATGTAGATTGTTAAAATGAATGGCTTTTGTCAAATTCTAATTACGTATATATTTTTTAATCTCAGCCGAGAAGATCTCGCAAGGCGTTCAACAATTGATTTTAGGATGTTCCTGGTTGGATGTTTGGTCAGTCTCGAAATATAATTATATGGAGAGGAAAATTAAATCTCTGGAGAAGACCCGTTTGTACAAAGGGAGCTACAGTCACACCGTGTGGAAGTAACTTTTTAAAAAAATCTTAATGGAGGTGTTTTGAGTTAGTCGCGTAAATATAAATGTGTCGTTCAACCCGCCACCACCCGACACAGCCAATTAGTAAGGGTTTGTCACGTAAACAGAACATGCCAATTCGTTACTAGCACAGCACACTGGTGTGTTGGAGAGAGTAAACCCACAACATTTAAATTTCGCCAGTAATTACAACAAACAGCATCATCAGGCGACAGCCAGAGTTGTGGGGAAATCCTCCCGTTTCGGTCTTAAATAGAGGGATATCTGTGAAATGTGATGTCGATAAATGTGATGTCGATCTAACTCAAAAAACCTCTTATGGATAATATTGGTCGCGAAATCCTACGTCTTAAGCTATTAAAAACCTACTCACTTTCCTCGGGGCTTCTTGTCGTCCTACAGATGGACCCTCTGACACAGTGGCCCTTGTTAACCGAAAAGTGATTCATAATTGATTGTCGGCTCAGATCTCAAATAAGTAATATTTAAAAAAAACTACAGCCAACGTCAGTTGAGCGTGGACAATTAGACCCAAGCCGAAACATAACATATAAAAAATAATGTTTACAAATATTTTATTTTATTTTTAATGATATAATATAGTATTGTCATCAGTACGACATAAGTATACCAAGTTTGCAGTCGATACCACATTGGGAAGTGGGTAAAAATTTAGTTACAAGATTTGACGATACAACAGCCAGGGTTAATAAAAAGCGTGTAATAAAATAAGATTTTTATTTCGATTTAAAGCTTTCGTGACTGCAGGGATTCATCTTCTTGGTTCTTTCGGTAAAGTCACGTAGAAGGGAAATAATAAAATAATAAAAATAAAACATAATAAAATAATTCTCACGACGTTTCGGCCACAACGCAAGCAGCCGTCCTCAGGTGAAGAACAGGTCTGTCGGAAAGACAGCGTCTGAATGAACACCACCATATTTAAGCTGGGTTGGAGGGGGAAGAGCGCCTTGACAAAATAATTTGCATATCAAGATGAATTTAGCATATTTATGGGAAATGCAGATATGGGATTAGTCACTACTTGTGAAATGCGTAGGAGGTGGGCGGGGGGTTTCAAAGTCATATTATGCCCGTGCATTATGCAGGATTAGCAGCATCAATAAAAATAAGATGCCATCGTTGCCGTTGTAGAGACCTCCTCGGAGGGCTGCCTTCGTGGCCCACGTGCGCGTGACACCCAACTCGTTTCACTGAGCCCCCGATGACAGATCAATGTGTAACACGCAGTGGGCTTTCGCGATCAATATCACCCATAAGAAAGGTTTTTGTGGGTTAGATCGCGTAAATGTGTGTCGTTAAACCCGCCACCACCCGCCACCAACGGACAGCCAATTCGTAAGGTTTTTCACGTAAACAGAACGTGTCAATTTGTTACTAGAAATGACACGTTATGTTGACGTGACAAACCTTACTAATCGGCTGTGTCGGGTGGTGACGGGTTTAACGACACATTTATATATTTACGCGATTTAACCCCAAAAACATGTATGATTGATTCATATGCTAGGTTCTTTCGGTAAAGTCACGTAGAAGGGAAATAATAAAAATAAAACAATAAAATTCTCACGACGTTTCGATTGCAACACAAGCAATCATCATCAGGTGTGAAAACCACAGCAAGAACATAAAAAAAAATTATTTCTGTGTTTTTTTTCAAAACATTTCTTGCTGTGGTTTTCACACCTGATGATGATTGCTTGTGTTGCAATCGAAACGTCGTGAGAATTTTATTGTTTTATTTGCATTATTTTATTATTTCCCTTCTACGTGACTTTACCGAAAGAACCAAGAATATGAATCCCTGCAGTCATGAAAGCTTTAAATCAAAAACATGCTATTATGGAGTTCAATGTCAATGTCCCATTTTCATTGAGGGACTGCTGTGAGCTGTCTTGGTGTGGTCTGGGACTGTTTTGTTGGGTTTTTTTGCTGCCTTGCCCCAACCTTGAAAAATCCGACTTATATAAGTAAAAAGATGATGTCACCCTGCTGCTGCTCTATTTAAGACCGGGAGCAACAGGAGAGCTTCACCATTCTTGCCCGATGAAGCTGATTGTAATTACCAGCGAAACGTCGTTCTACTCAAATTTAAAAATGATGTTGATTCTCTCTTCAACACACCGGTGGGCTAAAGAAGTGAATTATTTTGTCCTTTGAAAAACGTGACGCATTTTTTGTTACCGTTTGGCCGTGTCGGGTGGTGGAGGGTTACGACACATTTATAAATAACGCGATCTGACCCAAAAACCTATATTATGAATAATATTGGTCGCGAAAGCGTTACACTTATACAAGTAACTAATGTTTTAGCTATTTTTTGATTTACATTTAGTTAATTGCTTACCTTTTTAAATCCTTTATATTAAGTTCACTTGCTTGCTTGCTTGCGCGCTTACGACCGTGCAAATCTTTCGGTCGTTTTTTAACCCACTTCCCGTGATCCAATCGAGCTGACATTTTGCACACAGACTCGTTGTGCGTGACAATTTATTTTCGTGAAAAGTTTTTTCCAAAATTTTACACTTTTTAGGAAAATTTTTTTATATTTAATTACCAATTGCTTAATGGTGCCAGGCAATCATCTGACCCATAGGTGGCAGCCATCTCAAGCCAGAGTACGAGAGGACTCTAGCCGCCACGCATATAAAGGATTTATAGTGAAAAACTTAGTTTTTACGGGTTAATTTTGTATCTACTTTGCACCCCCCTATCGTTTAAAACATTTTTTTGGCATCATCGTTTTTTTGTTGCCGCTGTAACTCGCTGACTCCACCCCGCCCGCCCCCGCGCGGGGCCCCACAATGCTTAACACCTGTGTCAAAGAGCTTCATAGCTCATCGGATTCCTCGAGAGTAGTACACTACAGATTCCTGAATCTTCGTCCGGGCGTGGCGTGGGTGGGTGGGGGGGCGTGGAGGGCGGGGGCGTGTGGGGGTGGGTGCGGGGGGGGGCTGTAATTGCCACCTACGTCACGCGCGACCTTTCCCATATAAGGAGCGCACGCCCTTATAAGGAGCGCCTCGCCATATAAGGCGCTGCAGGCCGCGGTCTTTAATCGGTCGCGCGTACGGTGGGCGGCGTTGTTGTTGCTGCTGCTGCTGCTGCTCGCGTCCACCACGGACGCACGGATTTCACCTCACTGCGTTCACCTCACGGAGTTTGTCCCACGGCCGTCTCGTTTCGTCTCCGTCTGTCGCTTCTCTATCGCTTCTCTCCGCGTCTCTGTCGCCCGCTGGCTCGCTCCGTCACTGGGTTTACGCAGCGCGACCGACTTTGTGCGTTGGAGCACAAAAAAAACCGAAACCGACGCGAATAAATTAATGAAAAGCTTGCGAAACCACCACGACGACGAAGAAGAATTAGTAGAATTAGAAGCGTGTTCTAGTTTAGTCGACGGGGTTTGTCGTCGCGGGTGGGTGTTGTGAGGCGATCGGTTGGGGCCGCTGTCGTTTTTTTGTTTTCCCGCCATTTGCGTTTCTTAGGGTTTCTGAAGCAGCTGATTGCTGCTATTTGTTAAAATTGTAATTTATTAAGACGTATAATGGTAGGGTGAATGTAACGGAGTGTCATGCGGCGGTTGAATTGGAATGTGTGAATAGTTAATGATGCTGAGCAGATGAGGAAACGTTGCTTTGGCTTAGTGTTGAACATGCCGAATGAGGCAACACATTTATTTGCGATTCTGATGTTAATTAAACATAAATAAGAATTATCACACTGCATTAAAATACGCTTAATGCAATGTGAAGGCGCAAGAGACATTTGACAGCCGATAAAGTAACGTCGATAATTTTAGTATTGTACAGTATATACACAACAAATTTACAAAATTAAAAAAAATACAAATCTACTTGTTAAATATAGTGGGGGGGAAATTAACATCGCACTGTAGTGCTAGTGTTGTACGACAATTATATAGCTTTTTTATATTGACAATTATATAGATTTATATATTGACAATTGATCCTCCAATCAGAGGAGACGTTCGCGTCAGTAGTGAGGAATTAGTCTGCTACAGATCGATTTAGCTTCATAGGCATTGAGTAGCCCTATCCAGCAGCAGTGAAGACATCATCAACATCAGCAGCAACATTGAGTAGATCTATCCAGCAGCAGTGAAGACATCAGCAGCGGACATTGAATAACCCTATCCAGCAGTGTGAAGACATCAACATCAGTAGCAGCGACATTGAGTAGCCCTATCCAGCAGCAGTGAAGACATCAACATCATCAACATCAGCAGTGGCATTGAGTAGCTCTATCCAGCAGCAGTGTTGAGACATCAACAACATCAGCATTGAGTAGCTCTATCCAGCAGCCGTGTAAAGACATCAACAACAACATCAGCATTGAGTAGCCCTATCCAGCAGCAGCAGTGTAAAGACTTCATCAACATCATCAACAACATCAGCAAGGACATTGAGTAGCCCTGTCCAGCAGCAGTGAAGACATCAACATCAGCAGCGGACATTGAATATCCATATCCAGCAGTGTGAAGACATCAACATTATCAACATCAGCAGTGGCATTGAGTAGCCCTATCCAGCAGCAGCAGTGTGAAGACTTCATGAACATCATCAACAACATCAGCAAGGACATTGAGTAGCCCTATCCAGCAGCAAGCAGTGTGAGACATCAACAACATCAGCATTGAGTAGCTCTATCCAGCAGCAGCAGCAGTAAAGACATCAACAACATCATCATCAGCAGTAGGAAGGAATACGAAGGGGGGTGGTGGTGGTGGGGTGGTGAGAAAGATGAGGCCACACTGCGAGGTCGTGCAGGAGGAGGCCCTCAAGGAAGGCGAGATTGAGAAACGTAGCGACGGCTTTCTGCAGCAGTGGAAGAAGAAACGCTGCGTCCTCACCAGCGATGGTCTCATGCTCTTCCCGTGTGACTCCGGCTCCACATCGTCCGGGTCCATCATGTGAGTGGGTCCCTCTCTCTATCTCTCTCTGTGTGTGGGGGGGTCTCGTTGCTTGATTCAGGCCCCGCGTTTTGTTGTTTTCGTTTAGGCCTCCCGTGGTTCGTGTGAACTACCTCCTCTTCGCCTGGTGTGTGTGGGTTGCGCTTGTGGGTTTGATCGTGAACCTCTGGTGTCTGCTGCGGTATATTTGGAGTTTGCGTGTCTCTCTCTCATCATCATCACGGTGGCTAGAAGATGTTAACTACCTCGCCTGGTGTGCAGGAGATCGTGGGTTCGATTCTGACCCTGACACCTGCGGTATATTTGGAATTTGCGTGTCTCTCATCATCATCACGGTGGCTAAGAGACTGTTAACTACCTCGCCTGGTATGCAGGAGATCGTGGGTTCGATCCCGACCCTGACGCCTGCTGCTGTATATTTGGAGTTTGCGTGTCTCTCACAATCACGGTGGCTAAGAGATGTTAACTACCTCGCCTGGTATGCAGGAGAGCGTGGGTTCGATGTCGAACCATGATGTCTGCTGCTGTATATTTGGAGTTTGCGTGTCTCTCTCACAATCATCACGGTGGCTAAGAGATGTTAACTACCTCGCCTGGTGTGCAGGAGAGCGTGGGTTCGATGTCGACCCCTGATGTCTGCTGCTGTATATTTGGAGTTTGTGTGTCTCTCTCTCATAATCATCACGGTGGCTCGGAGATGTTAACTGCCTCGCCTGGTGTGCAGGAGAGCGTGGGTTCGATCCTGATCCTGACGCCTGCTGCTGTATATTTAGAGTTTGCGTGTCTCTCTCACAATCATCACGGTGGCTAGGAGATGTTAACTACCTCGCCTGGTGTGCAGGAGAGCGTGGGTTCGATCCTGATCCTGACGCCTGCTGCTGTATATTTAGAGTTTGCGTGTCTCTCTCACAATCATCACGGTGGCTAGGAGATGTTAACTACCTCGCCTGGTGTGCAGGAGATCGTGGGTTCGATGTCGACCCCTGACGCCTGCTGCTGTATATTTGGAGTTTGCGTGTCTCTCTCGCCGTGGTCGCGTGGATTTTTCTCCGGGTCCTTCGGTGTTCCCCCCCCCCCTCCTCTCTCTACATTAAAATCAACATCACGCGTTTAGAATATTTAGCTACTGCTATAATGATAAGCCTCTTTCGCTGAGCTATCATTTGTCATGGCCAGGTCGCTTCTGAAACAAAGAGTTACATAGCTTAGTTGGGCTCTTATCTGCTAAAATAAAAAATAAATTGGTTATTTCATAGCCCGTGTTATTTATTAATCCCCCTTATTAGCCGTAGTTTATGGCCTAGACCCAGTGTTCTTCACTAATTTTCAGAGGGTGGTGGAGTAGGGGGGCCTACTCTTTCCCCGAGAAGACATCAGGGCGTGAGGGCCGCCACACATTTGAAACCCATTGGATGTGACAGCGCGACGATCATGATGGGGGGGGGGGGGTGTTTTAAAATCGAGTGAATTGTTGGGGGGCGGGGGGGCCACACTAAAGGCCACCACGAGCCTTGCAATGAAGACCATCGGGCTTAGAAAGCAGACGGTACACGATTCGAGTCGAGCCTGCCGCCATGATTATCACTGCGGTTGTGGCAAGCCGTGCTTCTTGATGGGTTAAAACGCGCCGCTTGCCCTGCACACGCGGTGGAGTTTAAACGATCCTCCGATGTCGTTTTTGCAAGATGAGGCAGTCAAATTGTTTCGTAAGTGTCGCGGGCCCAACATTAAAAAATTATACCCGCAAAGTTTTACTTAATTGGGATTATACATAGCGTTCATCGCCACCCAAAGAAGCCAATTAAAACTAACCCATGACCCTATTTAGCCTCGCGTGGACAAGGGGGGTTAACCTTGAATGAATCTCGAAAGTCAGTTCTGTATCTTCTTTCCGCGGGGCCGTTCTCTCTAACACGGGGTTGATGCACTGCCCTGGAAGAGTTCGAGTACGTAGATAAGTAGAAGTAGACGCGAAATGATATGCGGACGAGAGGCGTCGAGTGGCAAATTGAACATTCTATCCACGTTGATCCCAGAGGTGAAGGCGAATTCATCCCGTTCGCGCATGAGTCGCACGGCATTGGGTCTCCCCCACATGCAAGTTCAAGTTTATTTGTTTAACCAGCTGAGATATGAAAGGCCCAGGGGTAGTCTGATTTTGCCAGAGTGACTTGGGTAATCTCTAAGAAATATGTTTGGATAATCGTCCGTGACTTGGCGAATACAACTTGTTACGCTTGAGAACATAGTTTAACTAAGGGTGGCGAAAACCCGAATTTAAATCCAGGATCTCAGTGGTGCTTTCTGAGTGCTTTTATTGAGCCTGACCTGGCCATGGTCAAAAGTAGTAAATGTCCTCTTGTGTGCATTTCATCCTTTGACTGCCCCTGCTGTTACAACGTCTTGAGTAAGAATACATACTTTTCTTCAGTCAATATGCTGCCTTTAACTAGCATATGTTCTCAAATACTTGTGTTCTGGAATCCATAAATTAAGTCAAACCTTCAATAGTCACCTTCCTTGAAGAAGAAAATTCTATACCCCTTTCCCAATGACACATCCAAGTTGGATTGGTGTGGGCCCCTCACTTTACCGATTATTTCCACGGACTGGTTTCTGAGCCGAGCCAGAACCACAGCATGAAACTCTTGAGCTCACAAGGCATCTGAATTTGACTTTGGGCCAAGCAGGGTCGAGGGTGGATGGTAAGGACATTTCATCACACGAAAAATATATTAATGTAATGTCAGCAACACGGCTTCGGGTTCTGCAGTGAACACAACAACTCCTGAGTGTCTGGCTGGCTCGGCATGACCCAAACGCGGCTCGGTTGTGGCAGTTGAAAATAGATTATAAGCCCCACTGGGGCTTTCATCTACCATAAATAATTGACCTCTCATGTTTGCACAGCTCCGTGTCGCACGGGGATGGCGTGGGCCATGGCAACAGGAGGAAGGCCCCCAAATCCCTGCGCTTCGACGCAGTGAAGACACTGGACTGCGTCGACCGCAAAGGCCGCTTCGTCTACTTCACCATCGTGACGGCATCCAACCGCGAGATCGACTTCAGGTGCCTGGAGGACACGACATGGAGCGCCGAGATCACGCTGGCCCTCGTCGGATTCAAGAACCGCCAAGCGCTACGCGATCGCGACCAGAAGAAGATGCTGGCGGCGCGAGGTGATGGCAGTGGTGGTGACGGATGCGGGGAAGATGTGACAATGGTGATGGTGAACGTAGAGAGGATATTGAACTTAGAACACTTTCACGTGGTGGACTGTGATGTTAAATGGGATGGTGGAGGTGGTGTTGACCGTAATGATAACGATGGCTATTATGAATGTGGGTGTGAGTGTTGAAATAAGAAGTTTGTGGTGAATGGTGGTGATAGTGGACATGGAGGAATAGTGTGTTGGTGGATGTGCAAAGTGAAGTGGGGGAGATGTGGTGTTGGTGGGAGACATGGAGGTGATGTAGAACATGGTGGTGGTATTGATAATCATAGTGGATTTGTCATGAGTGTCGAATGTGTTTGTGGATGTGGGGAAGATGTAGACTGTGGTTTTGGATGTGGTGGAGATGTGAAACGTAGATGTGGAGATTGTGATAAAGGAAACGGTGTTAAATATGCAGAGTGCTGTAGAATGTGGTCATTGTGAACTTGGGGGAGGAATTTTAACTTGGTGGTGGACATGGAGATGAATGCATGGGGCCAGGTGTAGCCACTGTCATGACACATGATGATGGTAGTGGACATGGAGATGGTAGATGTGGATTAGATAGAGGACACGGTGATTGTGGTGGACAGGAAAGAGTCGTAGGATGTGGTGAAGGTGATTATGGTGATCATGGAGGTTGATCAGACATGGTCATGGTTATATCTTGACTTAAAGCTTTCGTGACTGCAGGAATTAATATTCTTTGGGTCTTTCAGTAATAGTCACGTAGATAGGTTAGATCGCAACACAAGCGGTTGTCATCTATCTATGTGACTTTACCGAAAGACCCAAAGAATATGGTCATGGTTGTGATGGTGTTGATGTAATTGAAGATAACAATGGAAGGAGATGGACGATATGAATGAAGTATTTGGCCCTAATTGTCACGATGTGAATTTGGTACCCATATTGAGCCAGCAATATGGGAACAGTTTTAAATGCAATTAAACGTTGACAGTTTAAGCTTGCACAACGGCAATTTATTCCATGCAGGAATTCAGAAAATTGGTATATTTGACAGGTTTGGTATTAATATCAAAAATATGAAAATAATATCAGATATATATTCTTGGTTCTTTTGGTAAAGTCACTAGAAGGGAAATAAAATAATATAAATATTAAACAATAAAAATTATCACAACGTTTCGACTGCAACACAAACAATCGTCATCAGGTGTGAAATCCACAGCAAGAAAATTCAAGAATATGAATTCCTGCAGTCACGAAAGCTTTAAATAGAAAAATATCAGATATGTAATCACAATTCACACAAATAACTTTATAAAAAATAACCAATTAAAAATATAAATTCACACCTCTAATAATGAAAAAAACCTAACCAATAATTAATCATTTGCACAACAAGAACTATATTGCGATACGGGAAGAAAATCATGTTGACTTGCTTTGCCTTCATTCTTGAGCGTCTCTCTTTGAAATTAGCTCTCCAGAATTGGAAAACACCCTCTCACTTGGCAGTGTTGTCGCTGGCATACACAGGTGTTTTTACGCCAGCTTCATCAGATGGGTAAAACCTGATCCCTTTCCTGTATCCATGTTCCAAAGCTGAAGAGGACACCTTTCTTAAAAAAATAAATTGTGTAATTTCGTATCAAAAATAGTACTAGAAATCGATTCCTCTGCATATGACTCCCCATCCCTGCGTGCAGGCGGTAGTCGGTGGTGGACTTCAATATTTTCAGGGCATGAAAGTTTTACCAGAATTTAAAATAATGAAGAACGTTTCTGTTGTGGTCGTGCAGTGGCTGTCGAACGTGGCGACGATGGAGGCAGAATTAATGGACGCGGAAGAGATGGTGGAGGTGGTGGAGATCGTGGAGGTGGTTTTGGAGGTCGTGGTGGTGTTGGAGGAGGTGTCTGGGCTGAAGGCGCGGCAGTCGCCGGCCCAGTGGGAGGGCTTTATCACACTCCGCAGCAGCAGCGACATCGCTCCGGTTAAATCAAGAAAGCCTGGTATGTTGGAGAGGCATTTGGTCATGCCTCGCTTCTTCAAATTGTGACACTTTATTGAATCGAAATTTCGATTTAAAGCTTTCGTGACTGCAGGGATTCATCTTCTTGGTTCTTTCGGTAAAGTCACGTAGAGGGGAAATAATAAAATAATAAAAATTAAACATAAAATTCTCACGACGTTTCAGCCACAACGCAAGCAGCCGTCCTCAGGTGAAGAGCAGGTCTGTCGGAAAGACAGCGTCTGAATGAACACCACCAAGCTTGGCAGCGTATATTTAAGCTGGGTTAGGGGAGGAAGGGCTCCTTGGCAAAGGAATTTGCTCATCAACAGAGGAATTTAGCATATTTATGGTAAATGCAGATATGGGATTAGTTACTACTTGTGGAATGCGTAGGAGGTGGGGGGGTCTCCCATATCTGCATTTTCCATAAATATGCTAAATTCCTCTGTTGATATGTAAATTCCTTTGTCAAGTCGCCATTCCTCCTCTAACCCAGCTTAAATATACGCTTCCAAGATTGGTGGTGCTCATTCATACGCTGTCTTTCAAACAGACCTGTTCTTCACCTGAGGACGGCTGCTTGCAGTTGTGGCTGAAACGTCGTGAGAATTGTATTTTATTTTATTATTTCCCTTCTACGTGACTTTACCAAAAGAACCAAGAAGATATATTGAATCGCTTTGGCGATGAATTTGTGCTTGCTATAGGCTAAAGCATATTTGTGGTCTTTCTTCCAGGATATGATGTCCTATTCAATTGTTATAGTCCAAAGCAGATATGTTCAAGTATTCACTTTGCACTACTTTCGCGTTAATGTAACGTTGACACAATTTACATACAAGTACAAAAAACGAATTCGCTGGCGTCCAATTTCATGCGTGTATCTCATGCATCGTGGGCATACGAAATTATATATTTTTTTTAATCCACACGAGCCGTGGAGAAAAACAGCACGTACATGCCCTCTGTTGACGTCTACGAGCATAGCATTTTGACTTTAAAAAATCAATGTCATGTCGTCGTACGTAAAGAGGCATCAAGGCCCTCAGGGGATGGGGGGCCGCCCAAAGCCAATCATACGAGGTCACTAAGAGGCCTTTCGAGGTCAAATAGGTTGTATTGTCATTTGACCTTTACAAGGCTGTTGGGTGACGCTAAATGTGACTGCTTGCCACCATCCCCTGTTGGCCTTTTGCATCCGCTCTAATATATTGACTTGTCATCAGGCCCTGCCTCTGGCCTCTGGCAGTGTCAGGATGTCTACCAACAGTTTTTTTTGGCAATTGTAATTAATGTTGTTATAAATGCAACATGTGTAACTTCTTCTCACCAGTGTCATGCATCATGCTATTTTGGATAGCTATCTAGATTTCCATACGTTGTTCTGGTTGTGTATTACTCGTGTTAATAACATGTCCCTGCTGTTCTACAAACCTGCTGTAAACAATCCCTTCCCCACATAACGTGCTTGACATTTTGAAAAAAAGCCTCTTAGCTCAATGGACCTTACCCAAATTAAACTGGCTATCCACGAGGTATTGCCAATCAATGACAGTAGTACATATATTGATTTGCTAGTTTATTGGACTCAACATTTCAGAGGGTTTGGAATCAATTTCTGGTTGAGTTGGTAAAAACTTTAGCAAATTACTTAATTCACACTTGATTAAATCAAGCCAAAGTATCTTCCTGTTAATTAGCATTTATCTTGTGCTCATCTGCATATGCCTTCCTCAGCCATTGCTTAACGTTTAATTATTTTAATTGGCAGGTGCCATTCCATATGTATGATGACTGCAGGTTGACTTGCCATGAAGTTTTGCTCATTTTATCAACTCAGAAAGGATTGCGCTGAGTCAACCCCTGACTGAGATTTTAATGAATCGATGGATTACTGAGCAATGGGGCCCTCTGTGACCGATTAGTCAAAGGCACATTGTCTCACTGCTGATCTAATCATAGGACGTTGCTCATCTCGTTTAGGAGGCCTTAGCCAGTGGTGTAAATACCTATTGTTAGGGCCAGTCTATTTGACAGCCACTTTGTAAGGCTCATTGCCCACATGTGAACCAAGCCGGGTGGTTCGGCCCTAGAGCGAGTGGCCCGCAATTTGAAAGTTGCATGTTCAAATCCCGTTTGGGGGGGTTGACTTGGCGCATCCTTACAGGGGCTCGATACAAATGAGTGCCATTTTGTCAGGGAAGTCAACAGTGGTTGTCCTTTCGAGAGACACACCCCTGTGCTAGGAATGTGGAGTTTCCACCACTGGCTCAGAGCTCTGAACAGTCGATGAGCACTGCCGCAACGCCCGTTTAAGGAAGAATCACTTTTGCTTTGCATTTACTCGTTTGTAAGGCAGGTGCGTATTTCACATGTCCACGGCCTCAGTAACCGCTCTGTGTGTTTATGCCTGCAGGATTGCGAGAGTGATTAAATGCCGCTTTTGTTGACCGAGCTGGATTACCAGACGCTGCCAAGGCCTCGTCGCGAGAGGGCAGCAGTGCTGCTTCCTTTCCTCGCTGCGTTCCTGAACACTTCATCTGAACGTCTGATCCACACCTTCCAGACCATCATAATAAGTACAGTGAATTCCTCAAAGACTTGCTGCAACGATGGCAAGGATATGTTTTGCGCGCGTCGGTGGCGCCTGGGTGCTGTAACGCGCAAAATCGACAAACATCTCTGCACGACGCTCATTCACGACAGCAAGAATATTATCGCGAGCGGAGAGCAACTCTTGAATAATGAAAAACGACGGACGCCTCCCATGTTTTGGCTTGCGCTGCCGAGTCTTGGATTTACGCCTGAGGCCTGCATACAACATGGATGGAAGTGCATCTGGCTGGACTGGTTGCCGGCCGATCGCCAAACTGTGATGATGAATTCACGGCGTTTTAACGAAGCACATAACTTGTGCAGATGGGAATGAGGATGTAACGAGTGAACACTTGTGCATAACCAGGGACTTTTAGTCACAGTGTCGAATTATAAATGTACACTTTATCGTTACGCATAGATTGACAACAATTAAAGGAGCTCGTGAAAGCTTCCTTGGCTAATTGCTGGTATTTTCACAGACTAGTATGGCAATGTCTTAGTGGCTGCTTTTCACAAATTTTAAATCAACAACTACATTGTAGTTTTTTTTCAGCCCAGAAATATGTAGATAAGTTTTGCGTTGTTTTCCACGTTCATCGTTGAACGTTATCTAATAACTAATCTATTTTAATTCCCATTTTTAAAATGCTTTAGAATTGGTGGCATTTAAAATTGAACGATTGATGGAGTAAATTAAGTTTCAGTAACTGACAACAACAAAAAATCCCGTGACCTTTCAACAGCAAAGTTAAATTCACATTGATGTGCGCAAAAGGTCACGGTAAAATCATAGCCAAGTATTTAATAACTTGAAAGAAGGTCGGTGTGTTTTCATATTTATTTTAGCAGCGATTTAGAATGTTATCAACGTTATGCCTGCAGTTGCGAAGATATCGTAATGTGTAGTGTTGCAGTTGTGTATGGTCTGACTGCATTGCACCTCTATGGATGAGTAATCTGTTACCAAGTTGGTGGATTACGTGAACGTTACCAATCTTTAGCTTATTTTCACTTTCTGTATAAACTTATAGTCCATCTTGTTTGTAAGATTATTTTACAATTGTGACTTAACATCGCATTACCATATGCTCTTGTTATAGAATTAATTATCTGCCACTGGATAAGTATGCATGCTCATTTCTTCCATCGCTCTTAGAACGTCTTCACAATTGTTGATTTTTTTAACTTCCATTTTACCGACTCGGTCTTAAGCTAATACAGTAGCAAATACACTTAAATAACTGTTTTATAAGTACAATAAAGTAGATATTGTATCTCCACAGTTGGGCTTCAATGGCCGAAACGCACTGGTCTAGAGGCCTTGTCTGTGCTCGGCCAGCACTCTACCATCTAGTGGCGTGAATTAGAATAATGTTTTGGTGTACTGTATATATTTATAGTGAAAATAGTGGGCTATGTGCATTATGTGTGACTCAACACTGTTCAAGACACAAGTCCAGTAGCTGTCAGTTGAGCCCAACGCAGAGGTCGCAAACGGGTTTTGATTCCTTACCAGTACCCGGCCGCACCAGGGTCGCAAACGGGTACCCGTACCCGGCCGGGTACGGGTACCCGTACGCTACCCGTACCCTACCCGAAATGAGTGACAAACGGTTACTCACCGGTGACTCACGGCCTACCCGTACCCGGCCGCACCAGGGTCACAAACGGATACCCGTACCCGGCCGGTTACGGGTAGCCGGGTATCAGGGTAGGGTACGGGTATCGGGTACCTGGTTGTGACCTCTGGCCCAACTGTTGGCATCGACCAAGACGGTGGTTTTTATAGTTCAATGTTACCAGAGGGCAAGAGAGAGGGCTCCTTGTGCTGTCGTGTGCCGTGACAATTTGTGCTCGACGTGAGTTGTATTGGTAGGAGAACGGTGGGGGGGGGGGGGGGGGGGAGGGTCATGGGGATTTCTGGATGAGAATTTCAAGTAACCTATCCACGATACATTTTGGTGCCACGTTTCATTTGCAACTTTGTAGATCCTAAAATCCTTCACTGCGAGACGTGAGGGACTGTAAGCTTCCTGGAGCAAATATGTGAGAACAAACGTGCTTTTTGAGGCAGATTTTGATTGCGTTCGCTGGTCATCTGTACAAACTAACCAAGACGCTCTCCTCGTCTAACCCCAGTTTAAATATACGCTGCCAAGCTCGGTGGTGTTCATTCGGACGCTGTCTTTCCGACAGCCCTGTTCTTCACCTGAGGACGGCTGCTTGCGTTGTGGCCGAAACGTCGTGAGAATTGTATAATGTTTTATTTTTATTATTTTATTATTTCCCTTCTACGTGACTTTACCGAAAGAACCAAGAAGAAAAATAATACCACTAGACCAGGGCAATACACCTGCGCCATGTATTTTTCAAGTTCATTCAGTTTGCTTCATTTTTACTCGGTGAAAACCTATTCCAGACGATGTTCCTAAATCGTGACTGGCTTTCTGTAGATATTTGGTGGGGGAAATTGGTCACTTTTCCAGCGTTTCCGAACAATTTGGGTGCGCGTATGCAAAATATATATCGCCAAATCAACTTAGGACTGCATGTCAATCGGGCTTAATTAAGGGCCTTAAAACCATACATGTTTAATGTTGGACAACATGTTTTGTCAGCTCTTGCCATATGGCCAAAAGCTGGTCTCCCAAATTGTAGCTTTCAATTGAAAGTGGCACTGTTCAACTTGTTTTATCATAAGCATTCCAACCGCATGTCTTCTAGAATGTTTCTGAAATATAATGCAGTATCAGCCAGTTTTAGACATTTAGGGATTGATGTAATTGTTTGAAGGAAAAGCAGTCTTCGTTAATGTCTAGTGGAAACATCGCCAAATTTCCAGTATTTTCTGCAAATTGCACCATTTTCCACTGAAAATTGGTGGGAAATTTCCTTTGAGAGGATATTAATTGGACCCTGTAGCATGTTTAGGTAATCATGCTTCTCTGAAAGGTTCAGCCTGCAATCAATTTGAAAGAGAGCTCTAGATATACTTGGTGGCAGAAACTGCATTGTGACCAACTGTTTGTGATTAACCCCTCAGCATTGTTTTTATGGTGAAATTATTGCATGCTAAGAATATACACTCAGAAATCGGTCTAACAGTGGCTCATGATCAAACCATTTTGCTCACTAAAATAAAGATGCATACTAAGTGCATAGCATTGAAGGATTTTTCTTTTACCATTAAGTGAAACCAAGTAAGTTTTATTACTGGTATTACTGTTACTACCATCACAACCGTATATTCTGCACAATGTGACAGCCAGTTAGTGTTCGCTCTATAGAGGTCAGAGTGCATTTTGTGTGAAAATATCTTTTTTTAACACGCATTGTGTCTAACATGAAATTGTCAGAACAAAACACTGGAGCACCCTGCAATTTTGCCACAAATTGCAACGCCCATTCTCTCCGAGGAATGGGTGCTGTTTCCAGGTTGAACTACACAAACATGACAGCCACCACATTCAAGTCGCCTTGATTACATTTCACATTCAGGTTTTACTAAAATTTTAAAATCTCTATCAAAGGGCACTGTTCCGCTTGTCCGTGTGTTTTTTTTTATCATCTGTTTTTTTACCATCTGTTTTTCTGGTGTTGTGAGCTGATAATTGTAGACGTGACCGATATCTAGGAGACTGTGGTGTGTGGACTCGATCTTCGTTGTGTTAGATAGACCAGGGGTATACCCGTTGTTGGTTGACATTCCAGTGTTCGTTCCTCGTGGCTGTGAACTGGGAAGAGCTCGAACCGATTCGGTTACCTCGGCAGGGTTTTTTTGGTCTGTGATCACGTTGTTTAAAGACCTTTCGAATTGTTCATTTCAAAAGCCACATGTTAGGTGCGACAAAGACACCGAACGAGTTGTGAAACCTACATTGTTCTTGCGGTGGCTTTGCTTGCATTCAAAGGCCGAGGTGGACTTGTGGTTCATGGGGCAGTAATGTCTTACGCTTTAACATCCAGCGTGCACGTCTTAGCTCCTTGGGTAAAATAACTTCCAGCTTTCTTGATTCACAAGTTTAAAGAAGTCAAGTCGCCAATGGTACAACGAGAAAATTACATGAATACATCCATTTTGTTGTGTGCATTATCTTGCTTTAGCCTAATAGCAGGGTGGGTTATGTTATTGGGGAGAGACCAATCCGTCCATTTGTGTACACAATCAAAGTGACGTCTCGCATGCTCGCCAACCCTACCGATTTAAGTGACGCGCTGCTAATTGTTATATACCTTTTACCACATACCTCTTTTCAAAGCCAATCACGGCTTCATGAAATAAAAAAAATACTTTTGCTTTTTAAAATTGGTACGCGGTTAAGAAGGTGTAAAACGCTGTAGCCTGCCTCTTACATTGCAAGAGTTGACCAGTATGCATCTTGTCGCGAGACGCTTGGAAGTGTCTGTAGCACTGTATCACTGGTCTTGAACCACTAACGTGTGATGCTCTGCTCTCTGCTCGGCCTCCCATGATAGACTGATAACTGTTTGCCAATAAAATCAGCATCACAATTGTGGTACGATTGTGGAAGTCCTGAAATATACGAGGATTTGCCGATGACGAATTCCAGATACTACCTGAAACTCTGCTTCTCGCCCAATGGCAAGTCACAGTTGCGGACAAATGGAATCTGTTGTTGGACGGTCAACTTCACGGCAAAATTAAGTGCCCAGTTGTATGGGGGGGGGGGGGAGCAAGTGTTTCTCCCTCGCACGTGTTGGGTTTTCTCTTGCTGCTACGGTTTTCTCCCACAAGTAAACGCCAATTCACTGATAACATCTTCATTTGTGAATGACCGGGCAAAGCTTTGGGTGGAGAGATTTGGCGCCGGCTTAGCACTTGTCTTGTACCTGGATCTTGTGGGTCGCTCTTTCTCTCTTCGAGAGCGAGCTGATGCTGTGCGATGGCACGTTACAAAGTTTAACGCGACCAATATTCACAACGAAGGGAGGTTTTTTTTTTCTTTCTATGGGGGGTTAGATTGAATAACAATTAATGTCGTTAACCCACCATCACCCGATTCCGCCAATTAGTGAGGTTTGTCACGTAAACCGAACGTGCCAATTAGTTACTACTACTTCAGCACACTCGGTGTATTGGAGAGTAAAACCCGCAACATTTACAATTGGAGTAGGACGTTTCGCTGGCGATTACAACCAGCTTCAAGCAATTTACCAGGACTGTGTGAATAAGCCTTTCTGTTTCGGTCTTAAATAGAGTAAAGTTGATGTCATCACTGTGAGTCTATCGGGAGTTACAAGATTAAATTATTCCCAGTTTTGGAAACAGCAACAAGCCTTGTGCGTAATTTGAATTGCCTGCCATCTCGTGGATACAACTGGTAACGTTAAGGATACGAATGCGCATTATACCGGTCGTGCTGAATTGTAGTGCCCTGTCTGGTTGTGATGCTTCGAATGCAACCTCTGTTGACGTTCACTTTTACAATGGCGTAATTAGCAGTACCTTGTGAATTCACGATGACAGTGCTAGCCGTCAGAGTCTGTGATGAGTACATTTAGCACTGCGTTTTGCTGCGCGAGTCGTGTAAAGTGTGTGTGTGTACATAGTGTGGTGTAAAATGTTCGTGTTGAATAAACGTATTTAAATGCACTGTGACCATTTCTGTGGATTATGTTGGTATGGCGCGATTGTTTTAATCACTTAATTTTACAATCACGAGGTGCGCCTGCTATAAATTCATGTTTGTCATCGGAGACAAACATGAAGACACAGACGGACACGAAAACACGCAAATAGGTAGACAAAAACCAGAAACACCACATGGAGACAGAGCGAGACAGACAAATACACTTAAAGAGATTGATACAAACACGGAAACACTTTAGTGACAGACACGCATGAAGGCACAGAGACACCGATACACAGCCGAGAATCCACTCGGAGAGAAACGGAAACAAACAGAACGATGGTCTCGCCTCTAACATCTAAAGTACACGAGTTAAGACTGTGTATTTTGACCATCTACACCTGTGTGTGTGTCTGTCTCCTCCTGTGGAGGAGGCCCGTGAAGGATGCTACTGGGCAGTTGGAAACGACAGCACGGAGGGCAGAGGAGTGACGCTCCCAACAATGAGCGGAGTGCTGGGTGGCTAAGGCACAGTAGGGGGCACAGGTGGTGCATCGGCCAGTCATCTCAGTCAACCCATGGCACCTGGGTCTGTGCCGTGACCTGCCCGCGGGCGTTCGACACTTCACGTGGCCTTAACGTGGACATAGCCTGGCACAAGCGCCGTGGATACGTCTGTGTCTCCGTGTCTGCCTTTGTGTCTCACTCGTACCCACATTTTAAAAAAATCCCGCAACTTTGTACTCGAGTCAGCAAGGGTACACCGCTAAACCCTTAGAAAATGGGCTTTTGTTGAACCTTGCGTTTATTTTCCATTGCTACAATGTTGCAAGACATTCCACGCCGTGCAAAAAGAGTACGCGGTCGCATTAACACAACACACTCACAACGGTCGGAATAGCGCTTAAACGAAACTACAGCGGATTACGCGCTCAGTGCCACAACTTACACGAGTGGCAAACACACTCAGTTCAACATCGCCTGTGTAAGAGAAGTGAGGTATTTAAAAAAAAAAATCACCGTGCACAAAACCGCCGAGCGTTACTTGCGAACCACTGCCAACCTTGCACCTTTAACGGAGGAACAGCAGCACGAGCAGATTAATTTAGCCTCAACTGAAGCCGTAGAAAATGACAAATTGTGACGTTATCAGACACATTTATTTAGCGATGTAATTTAAAATAAAATAAAAATTCAACTCAAGGACGAATTCATAAAATATAAATTCCTCCACTGATTTCTTCCAACAACGTGTTTGTTTCTCCAGCTTTAGCTGCTGTGTGGCAAAGTCATGAACGATGCTGTCATTGTAATTCAAAGACGGTGGCAATGGTCCGATGTTATCGTCGCTCAGCTGTTACTGTCCACGTGGCATGGAGGGTCTCGAGTAGAGCCGACAAAATGTCACGGCCTAAAGCCCTGCTCATATTAGCCCATGGGTTAATGTGGCCCTGGTCACGTGCATGGCTTTCACATTTGGATAGCGATTGTTACGTCACTGTTCACTGAGCCAGCGATCTCTCCACCACCAGTAGGGAAGGGGGGGCGGCACTCCCTCGGAAAGCCGGTCAGAGAGGGGGCGCAGTCTGCGGCGTGGTTAACGTGCAGGAGAAATTTCAGATGTGTGCGGAGAACGTCAGCGCCACATTGCGGTGACAAAACAGGCACATTCTGATGTTTTTTCCCAGAAGATGCTTGGCATAGAGTTCCATGCTAAAACGTCGTATCTGATAATTGGTTTTTTACCCTTCTATCTGGCAACAAAACTGACATTTTTTACAAGGAGTCATGTTTGCATAGACCACAATACCTGCAGTCATAATGCAAACAAAAAACATAACTCTGATAATGTATGCACTGTCCTTGAAGTTGATTGGTCCACACCCGAGACAGCTTTCCTTAGAGCTCTATGTTTTTTGTTTGCATTATGACTGCAGGTATTGTGGTCAATGCAAACATGATTCCTTGTAAAAAAGATGTCAGTTTTGTTGCCAGATAGAAGGGTAAAAAAACTATTATCATACATTTTACTGGCAAATGAGGTTCCAATGGTGTAAACGTCGTATCTGCTTTGCTGAAAATGTGGTTGCGACAATTGTTCTTCAACTTTGCTGGTGAGCTAAAACGACAACAACAACAAAAATCTTCCATTGCGTCTCACGATGTTCGTCACGGCTGCGCGGTGTTGGGCCGCACGAGACCACCGCAATGGCCATTGTCGAACGAGTCGAGAAAAGCGAGGGTCCTGTCTCTGGCCTTGCGCGCCAGGTCGGCACTGCGAGCCCTCCTTGTCTCCATGACACCGGGGCTCGAGGGTAGCAGGGCCTTCAGCAGGCGGCGCCTCTGCGCCGTCGAGAGGGCCGCTCCGGGTGTGCCCGCCACGGCCCTGGGGTCTCCCGTGGTGGCCCCGAAACCCGCGCAGGCCGACCTCACCCCGGACCTCCTGGTGGCGAGCGGACTCCTCGATGCCGTCATCGTTGCTCCACCTAATCCTCCGCCGCCGCCGCCGCCGGAACCTCCTCCGTGGCCCGCATCGCCCTGTACCACCGCAGACAGATTTGTGGCCGTCGGCGGATTTGCGGACCTCCGCGCGGCCGGCCGACATCGACGCGGACGGCCCGGGCGGCAGCGTTTCGGTAGCGGCGGGGAGGGCCACGCCGTGGCCGCCACCGCCGGTCGTCGTCATCGTCGGCCGTCGCGGAACGACGCGGAGACTCTCGCGAGCGGCGTCGGTCTCGGGCTCCAGGAGGGCGCGACGCTCGGCCAGCCGCCCCGTCGACAGGCGCACGGCGGACAGCTCGCGCCGCAGCTGCCGCCGGGCCCTGTCGGCCGTCTGCGCCGTCCTCGCCCTGAGGAGCTCCATGGCCTCGAGCCGCTCGGCCAACTTGCGCGACTCGGCCACGTTGGCGTGGAGGCAGCGCTGGAGACGCGCGCTCGACAGCGCGTGGCGCATCGCCGACGCTTTGCTCGGCGGGCGGGCTTGCAGCATTCTTCAACGACAACGAATATGAATTTCGATTTAAAGCTTTCGTAACTGCAGGGATTCATCTTCTTGGTTCTTTCGGTAAAGTCACGTAGAAGGAAAGTAGTAAAATAATAAAAATAATATTAAAATATAATACTATATTATTTAATTATATATATTTATTATATATTTTTTATTATGTTTTATTTTAATTATTTTATTACTTCCCTTCTACGTGACTTTACCGAAATAACCAAGAAGACAACGAATATACTCTTTGGTTCATTCGGTGAAGTCACGAAGTTAGAAATGAAATAGAACAGATCGCGACGTTTCGATCGCAACACAAGTTCAAGTCCATTTATTAGGTATAGCCCTGTGAGCCATTCGGCTCTTGAATCGGGTGCAACCGCAACAAACAAAAAACAAAAACATGAACAAGAAAACATCTTAAAGTGAATATGTGACTAAGTGCAAACAGAAAATCCAAGAATAGACAGCAAAATATTGCAAAAAAGCACCGTACACCAACGCTGCGTGCAAAAATCCCAGTGATTTGTTTTATTTTATTTCTACCTACGTGACTTTACCGAAAGAATCAAGAGCATGGATTCCTGCAGTCACGAAAGCTTCAAATCAAGATTGACAACAAACATACATACGCAGCATAAAAAAAAATCTCTATATCGTATTTCTTAATATCTCATGCCCGCATATCGCGGCGTCTCTGTCTCGCTCGTACCTATATTGCGCGTCTGTTCTCCTTCGGAGCGATGCCGAATTCTTGCCACGTTACGCTGCCTGCCTTGCGGTGGCACGGTGGCGCAGAGGGTGAGAGCGCTGAGCTGGAAACCGCTGAGAGCCTGGGTTCGAGTCCAGGTCCTACGGGCGGCAGAGTGAGTTGATAGCCTTAACCCAGCTGCCAACGACTGCACGCAACAACAAACAAAACCCCATCACATTACGTTCGGTTCTGCACTTAATTTGCCAAAATTCAGTTTGCGTGTCACGCCGTGAACCTCGCTCTCATATGCAGAGTGAGTGAGTGGGTGCGTGCTGCCCTCTGCTGTGTGTGGACCGGAGTATCACAGACGATGGGACGTCAGGGGGTAGTACATTACAGGAGTAGTGCAGCAGCAGCAGCAACTGCAGCAGCAGCAGCAACTGCAGCTCCCTTTGATGCTGTTAATCCTGCATAATGCACATGCATATGTAGTACTAATCACATTCCTGCATTTGCCATAAATATGCTAAATTCCTCTTGATATGCAAATTCCTTTGTCAAGGAGCCCAGCTTATATATATGCTCCAAGCTCGTGTGCTGTTTCATTCAGACTCTGTCGCCTCGACGGACCTGGTTTTCACCTGAGGACGGCTGCTTGCGTTGTGGCCGAAACGTCGTGAGAATTATTTTATTGTGTTTTCTTTTTATTATTTTATTACTTTCTTTCTACGTGACTTTACCGAAAGAACCAAGAAGAGGAGTAGTTCCAGTTTCAAGTTTCATTTATTAGGTATAGCCCTGTGAGCCATGCGGCTCTTAAGTCGGGTGCAACCGCAACAAACAAAATATGAACACAGAACATCCCAAAGCGACGACGCGCAACAGAAACATCCTGGGATAAACCAGCAAATATTCCACATGAAAAAACCCCGTATTAAAACGATGTTCTGTGATGTCTGCTTCCGTGGCGCGTTCTCTCACATGAATGGTGTCATTGCTCTGCGAGATATACGAATGCGTTTTTAAATCCTTTATATTAAGTTCGCATGCTTGCTTGCGTGCTTGCTTGCTTGCTTACGACCGTGCAAATCTTTCGGTCGTTTTTTAACCCACTTCCAGTGATCCAATCGAGCTGACATTTTCCACACAGACTCGTTGTGCCAGACAATTAATGTTCGTGAAAAAAAATTCCCAAAATTTTACACTTTTTAGGCAAAAAACTATTATTTTATATATATTCAAATAGAATTCATTCATCGCTTTGGCTGAACGTCACAGTATAAGAGCACAGAGCGTAACCCCTCCACAGGCCGTGGCGGAGTAACGCAGTTGGTAGCGCCCTCGCTTCCCATGCCAAAGGTCGGGGGATCGATCCCCGTGTCCTCCACAGGCGAATATATATTTGAAATCCTTTATATTAAGTTCGCTGCCACGCATATAAAGGATTGATAGTGAAAAACTTTGTTTTTACGGGTTATACTTATTTGTCTCGTGCTGTGATGCCGATGATAATGACAGAAATAATGAAGATAAGATATGATGATGAGTCGATGTGTGAGTCCGTGTGCATCGCAGGTTCGTGAGGGTGTTGGCGGTTTGGGGAGGCTTTCATCCAGCAGTGGATTGACCATGACCCATGAGCTATATGTTTTATATTACGCTTCTATTTCAGGCGGGTCCTGCCAAGATTTCGTAGTAAGTGGCGATGATGATTGCTGTGTATATTCCAATTGAGCAATTATAATTTTTGCATTATTATATGCTCGTTATCATCATCGTCATCATGGCGCTAATGAAGTAAAGCTCACACCAACTCGTCACAATCCCACCACTACAAGCCATTTCTCTATCGCTCTGCCAACTGCCCTGCAGTAACATCGGAACCACTTCCATTATTTTACTTTATTACCAACTCTGGCTACAAAATTAGGCGGAGGCACAATTAGTAGTGTAGTGTATAGTGTAGTAGTGTATAGTGTGGTAGTGTATAGTGTGGTAGTGTATAGTGTGGTAGTGTATAGTGTAGTAGTGTATAGTGTGGTAGTGTATAGTGTGGTAGTGTATAGTGTGGTAGTGTATAGTGTGGTAGTGTATAGTGTAGTAGTGTATAGTGTGGTAGTGTATAGTGTAGTAGTGTATAGTGTAGTAGTGTAGTAGTGTATAGTGTAGTGTATAGTAGTGTAGTGTATAGTAGTATAGTAGTGTAGTGTATAGTGTAGTGTATAGTGTAGTGTATAGTGTAGTAGTGTATAGTGTAGTGTATAGTGTAGTAGTGTATAGTGTAGTAGTGTATAGTGTAGTGTATAGTAGTGTAGTGTATAGTGTAGTGTATAGTAGTGTAGTGTATAGTAGTGTAGTGTATAGTGTAGTAGTGTATAGTGTAGTGTATAGTGTAGTGTAGCAGTGTATAGTAGTCTATAGTGTAGTAGTGTATAGTGTAGTGTATAGTAGTGTAGTGTATAGTGTAGTAGTGTATAGTGTAGTGTATAGTAGTGTAGTGTATAGTGTAGTGTATAGTAGTGTAGTGTATAGTGTAGTGTATAGTGTAGTGTATAGTGTAGTGTATAGTGTAGTGTATAGTAGTGTAGTGTATAGTGTAGTGTATAGTAGTGTAGTGTATAGTAGTGTAGTGTATAGTGTAGTGTATAGTGTAGTGTATAGTAGTGTAGTGTATAGTGTAGTGTATAGTAGTGTAGTGTATAGTGTAGTGTATAGTGTAGTGTATAGTGTAGTGTATAGTGTAGTGTATAGTGTCGTAGTGCTGGAGTCTGTCGCCAGGGAGAGGGAGGTGTGGACCGCCACCACTCAAAACGCCGCCGCCGCCGCGACCCTCACCAGGACAAGCGAGCTGAGAGGCGAAGGGACATCCGAGACCCGCCAATGCAGGATAACCTCACGTGCAGGATAACCTCGCGTGCAGGATAACCTCGCGTGCAGGATAACCTCGTGTGCAGGATAACCTCGTGTGCAGGATAACCTCACGTGCAGGATAACCTCGCGTGCAGGATAACCTCGTGTGCATGTGCGACGTGGAGTCGCCAAAGTGACGGAAGCGAAACGACGTGAAATAAAGTCGAGCAATATTCTTGGGTTTTTTAGGTGAAGTCACGTAGGTAACCAGTATATATACGGGGTCGGATCTCTTGGAATTTCTCATTTACTTGATACAGCAAGCGTGCTGTGACGGTTCCACCTGAAGACGGAAGCTTGTGTTGCCTCCGAAACGTCGTGATTTTGATTTTGATTTTATTTTTATTTTACTTTTATTAATTTTATTTTTTTACCTACGTGACTTTACCGAAAAAAACCAAGAATATGAATCCTTGCAGTCACGAAAGCTTCAAATCTAGAAAAAACAATAGAGCAAGTGAAGAAAATAGGAATCCGTGCAGAAGCAAACGCGTCCACATGACCGATCGAACATATCGCTGGAATTAATAAATCGATATCACAAAATGAATTCCCTGGAGCGTGAGTCTGCTCGGGAAAGATTATTGTTTAGACCGATCATAGTACAATTATACAAGCTTACGTTACTTTTGTTCTAATATATAAAGAGACAAGGATACATTTGTCCAAGCCACTTGCACGTGAAGATATCATGAAGCATTGCCAGTGTAACATCAAACTGTAGTTTAGAAATGTGCGTGTGTATGCGTCTGTCACACTTACCTTCATAGGTGCTCGCTAATAACACTTGCCCCTGGAGTCCGTTAAAGCTATACAGGGGATCTTTGTCACATTTATACAGGCAGTAGTGAAACAAGATGGAAGGAGGATGGAGTGGGATGATGATGATGATGGTGGTGGCTGGTGGAGAGAGTGGAGGAGGCACAAAACCATCTGTATGTGTGTGGATTGATAATTGCGTGAACGCATCGAGAGGGGGAGGGAGGGAGAGCGAGCGGGTGGCCAGGGCAAGAGGGAGTGGGGCTCCAAGAGAGCTTGCTACGCCGTGCTGGGGAAACATCGGTGGTGGTGGTGGTGGGAGAACAACTTCCCGGTCTGTGGGAGCGGTGGTGCAGCGGTTGCGCCAACAATCTCTTGTCCTTGCGCTACGTACGCGCGGCTGCATGAGAGGCGGGGAGGAATGTGTGAGATGGAATAACCTGAGAATGTTAGAGAGGCCATGCGCACAATGGGGCCCTTTAATCTGGGGAGCGCACGCAGTGATTGCAGCCAAGACTCTCGCTGTGTCAGAGCAGCACGACTCCACGTGGTTATTGTGTGTGGGGAGCGGTGGCATAGTGGTTAGCGCGCTTGGTTACTGTATTGTGTGTGTGGAGCGGTGGGATAGTGGTTAGCGCACTGCGTTATGAATCCGGCGCACCGATTTTCCGCTGACAGGCGACACCGGTGACGATTATTTGAACCGGTCCTGGGTCTCCCCTAGGTCGGCTCGGCCTCAAACTAGAAACCCAGTGTGGTGTGTAAACATCGCCGCTGGGGAGACAAAGGCGGCCGGGCGTGGTGCTGGCCAACCCACCCCCATCATGTGCCGTGCCGCCCTTCATAGGTGCTCCTAGTTAACAGCACTTGCCCCAACAGTCCGTCAAAGGCTATACGGGAAACTTTGTTGTTGTGTGTGTGTGTGTGGTTGAATTCTGTATCAGGTGTCAGTCACCATGGATTCATGTCGCTAATCCCAAACGTCTCTCTCACACACACACATTGTCCTCCAAGCCTTTAGCACAAACACCACCCCTCCCTTCTCCCACACACACACACACACGCGCGCAACCACGCGACTATAATTTAACTGCAGTATTATGAACATGACGGCACAGTGCGTGGCTTGGCAGCCTAGATTTAGGACAACTTTAACGCATTCTTTAATAACAACGTGGCCGTCAAGGCAAGTGTGTGTGTGTGATGTGTGTATTAAAATAAATATAAAATTGGAGGTTTTTAATTTGGCAAAGTCCTACCCAGCGGTGTGCTGTACTGTAAGGCTGTAGCCATGGAGTCAACATTGGGGGGGGGGGGGGACCACATCTTCCAGGGGGTCTGGGGGTCCCGTCCCCCCCAGAAAAAATGAATCTAAATTTGAAAACTCATTTCCTGCCTAAAATATTTAGAAATTCACTAACACATAGGATGGACTTTTTATTTATTTTTTACAATAATGTCTAAGAGTGTATTACATTGCTCTGTTTTTTACCTTTGCTTGTTTCATTGTATGTAATGGGAGAGA